GGAGGGCTTTCTTATAAAGCAACAAACTATTTCTCCAGGCTAAATGATAAAGAACAGCAAACCAGCCTCTGATTTCTGGTCTGCTCTCAGTGACAAAACCTCAAGGAAGAAACGTGACCTTCAGCAGATGCAGCAGATGTTCCTGCACTCATGTTTGATGCTATTCTGCTGTTTTCACACTGCTGCATGTCTGCACTGTTCTCAGACACAAATCTTTGCATTTCTCTGCTCTTTGTTGCTATTGCTCGACTCTACAGTAAACTGCATGATAAAAGACTACAGAGGAAGCATCACGGTCAGTACGAGACGGCATTAATGTGGACGGGGATTCAATCACACGCTTTCTGTCCACACAGACCTGCAGCTTTTATCAACCGCCACTAGATCTGGGAAGACTTTCTACAAGACGTCAGTGTCTGTGGGACGTTCACATCATCCATCGCGGGCCTGAGATACCTCCATGGACGGCTCTTTGTGCACTTCCAGGTTGCAGGTGCTGGATTTTATACGCCTGTGCCAATCAGGCTTAAAAACACCTGAGTTCACAGAGGCGTGGCCCACACAGTGTGAGAATGACTTTATTGTGAATTCAGCTGTTTAAAAGGACAAAACGCACTGAGAGAGTCTTGTGTGACCGACCTCCATGAAAGGCTGTCTGAGAGTTTCAGCCCTGATCTTTCAGACCTCGGACAATGACGCAGCATCCTCACCACGATTCATCAAATAACTCGATTATTCAAACTAACAGTTTTTGCTTCGATGGCGAGAATGCCGACACGCTCGACTTTCTTCATGGCAGCCACCATGTGCTTCTTTAGAGGCGCTCTCACACACACACAGCATAAACTAAGGCATGTATCTTATTTTAACATCACTGTACTTGTAATTTCCTACGAAGATGTTTTCTTTAAAAGAAATATAGCAGATAAATACAAAATGAAATGTTTTTATAGGTAACACTGCATTTTCAAAGACAAAAGTATCCAATTACTCAATCAATAGAATACTCGATTACTAAACTGATGGCTAGCCTCAGGGCTAAAGCTCAGGCTCTGCTTCATATTAGGGGCGATATAAACGATATAAATTTGGCCAACAAT